AGGACACCAGCAATTAGTTTCCTCAATGAGAAACGGAAATCTGACAGATGTTGGCCACATCTTTTTATAGGAGATGCAGAAGAGCAGCTGTTACTGCAAGGATTGTAGGGATTTCTTGTGAAAGTTGGTAGCAGATGTCACCATCTGCTACTGCCCTCTCTGTTAAATAGAGGCAAAAAGGAGACTGAAAGCTTGTTAAAAAGAGAAAAAAACAGGTAACAACAAAAAGATTCAAGACACCCAAGTATATTTACAGCAAGCAGTAGAACTCCTTACCCCACTTCCTCCCAGCAAAACTGCAATCCAATTGCACAATAAAAGCCAAGAACACTCCCCATTCTCTTCAAATCATGATTTCTTTTCATTTTAATCTTTCTACATGTACTTTGACAACCTTCAGCCTGCAATCTAACACCTAGCCATTTCCTTCCTGGCTGAAAGTGATCATAGAAATGAGCGGTTGCATCCTTTCCCTCTGGGTATACAGTAAGGGTCTGATGACAACTGCTTTACCAGAGCTGGTATCAGACAAACAAAAATTTCCTACACAATGATCTACACAATTATGTCATGCGTGGAGGCAAAGTATTTAGTACTTACAGAAAAAAAAAAAAACCAGCAAAAAGAAAACAAAACTTCTGTTGCATTGTGTCAGAAAGCATGCTGTACATGTTTGTACATCTTGGCAGATAACGATCAGATGAGGCAAGCAATGAAGTGGTTAACCAAATCGGAGAGTTATCTCAGACATCCAAAGGCACATCTTGTAAACCTGAGAAAACTATACACAGAACTGAGGAGCAGAAAAAGTAAGGGCTTGTCTGGGAAGAAACAAATGACACTGTCAACAAGTAGTTAGCTTTCTTACTCATAAAAAATGGCATCAGAGAGATCCACAGCCCAACAAAAGAACAGGAATCTTTCCAATGGTATAAAGAAGACTTGGATCATGCCCCAGCTTTCCAGAAAACTAGACTTGCTAATTGCCTCACTCTTTCGCTGTCAAAACCGTCATCCCACTGAACTGAAATACCTTTTCAATATTGCTATAGGGCAGACATTTCTACACTGGTAATACTGGGAGCCACATTCAACCACCAACAGAAACTCGCTGATCACAAGCTTCCCCATTTGGTATTCCACAATGTTATTAAAGAAAAAAAAAGAAGAACAAAAAACCAACCCCACAATACTGTGTGTCCAGCTCTCTGTACAAGATCACCCACTGGAGCCTCGAAGGTCACAACTTTGGAATTAGACCTCTGAAACGTGATAAAAAAATCACTCTGTTATGGCAGCTGCACAAGATTACTGTGGAGAGATCATTCAGATTTATACTAACGTACACCTCCCTGCTTTATCTGGGAAAACTTTCTAGGTTTTGTCTTGTATGTTTGGTTTTGGAAAAATATACCATCTTGTAGTTTACTAGCACTGTAAAGAGCATTTTGCTTTTCAGATGATGTCATGTTTAGACAATAAATAAGCCTCAGAAATGGAAAAGGCCATTTTTCTTTGGCACTGCCATAAATCAGGAATCGCTTGAGCCATACCTGCTATGAGTGATAAAAGTAAGAAAGAAAACCAGCTTTAGCAAGGTTTATTGCTGTTACCAGTCTTTTCCCTAGTACAGGGGAATTATGCTTACCTCACATTACCAGGCCATACTTGAAATACTACGCTCAGCCTGTATAAATCAACACGGCCCAGTTCACTTCAACACAACCATACTGATTTGTGTGAGCTGAAGAACACGTACTGGTCAAAAAATGACTATTTGTTGTCATACCTACTGCCTCTCATTTCCTAAAGAAAAAAAATGAAAAGGAAAATACTACACAGCCACTTGTTCTACTTCACATGAGATTTTAGATAATGCTCTCTGTTGTTACATATGCATGCCTCTCTTGAGCAGGGACTCATTGGTGCATTTTGATTATGCTATACACTACTATTCCCCAAATTAAGATGAAAAGTGCAGATAGAGGGTTCAAACAACATGGAACTTATTGGTGCTTATTTTTTTTTTTCTATAAAGTCACTGTGGCTGTCACTATGTGAAAGATTAGCCCACACAGTGAGCTTAAGTGTTCAAAATTGCAGTGCAGTGTCACATCTTAAGATCGACTCCTGTTACTGTATTTTTCTTACAGAGTAAAAGAACAAGATAAAAGTAAAAAAAAGTCAAACAAGCTTCTCAAAGGCAGCACTTTTCTCAAGTATTCCTTATTTCAAGAAATAAGAAACCTCTTATATTAGACTTAAGCACTCTCTACCCTTACAAACAAGTACAAACTTGTTTATTACTACACAGTATACATGATGTTAACTGCTAGAGCTCCTTTCAAAAAAATAAATAAATAAAAATTGGGAAGACTAAAGAAAAGAATTAATATTCTGAAATAACATGTTGTTTCTGTTTAAATTTTCCTCATACTATCCCAAGGAGAAAATGGTTTCAACAAAAACGGTATGAAACATGAGAACAAAATACACATCACTTCAAAAGTAATGCCTCTCATTCATTTCCAGGGAAACTACAACAGATACAAAGAGCACAACAGCACTGTTTGATATAGCAAATTCTCTCAGTTACTAAACACTATTTCTCAACATAGCCACCACCACTAGCTATACATTTTCACCATATTACCATCTCTGTATTGAGATAGATCATTCCTCTTACACCCCCTTTGCCTCACGAGCACGTTTATAGCCTTCAAAACCAAAAGTGGTGAATGCCAATTAAGAAACAATCTCAAAACTTCTTTGCTTCTATTTTCTTCTCTGAAAATGTTTAAGATATTTTCACATAAAAACCTAAGCAAATGACAGTGGGCTGTGTTTACTGTCACTTTCATTGCCTGTGATCCTGCCAAGGCTAATGGAGCCAACCGGAACTACTTCTAAGACAAGATTCCTGTTCATGGCAGAAGGAGCTTAAATTTTACTAGAATTACATACAACTACAGAACTAGAATTACATACAACTAGAAGAACAGCCTAGGACTTCAAAGCACAGACTTCGTTCTCCACAGGGACATTCAATGTGTCGAAATGAGACTTCTCCTTGGAAGCTCCATTTTAGCAGTATCAAAGCTGGAATGAATGTCAGAGGGATCAAAATAGCAACAAGCAGTGAAGTTTTTATATTTCAAAATGGCACAAGCCTGCAGAGAAAAAACAGCTGAAATCTTAAACGAGTTTCTGTAACTTCCAATTCATCCAGTAGCTGTTTAGTATTACTAGAAATCATAGAATCGTAGAACTGCTCAGGTTGGAAAAGACCTTAAAGATTATCAAGTCCAACTGCAACCTGACCATACTATCCTACTTCTAACAACCCTCTGCTAAATCACATCCCTGAGCACCACATCCAAACGGTTTTTAAACACATCCAGGGATGGTAACTCACCACCTCCCTGGGCAGCCTATTGCAGTGCTTAACAACCTTTTCTGCAAAGAAGTATTCCCTCATATCCAACTTAAACCTCCCCTGGCCAAACTTGAGGCCATTTCCCCTCAAGCTGTCACCAGAGAGAAGAGACCAACCCCGTTTTCGCTGCAATCACCTCTCAGGTATTTGAAGAGAGCAGTAAGGTCTCCCCTCAGCCTTCTCTTACTCAGACTAAGCAGTCCCAGTTCCTTCAGTATCATGCCAGGGTAGTTTGTGTAATTGCATTTTCCTTCATGCTTCGTGTTGGTCAGGTGGTTTTAATTTCAACATTATAACTCAAAGCAATTTGCACATCACCTTATATAGTGCACCAAGACTATATGGCAGTGGAATGCTTAAAAGAAAGCAAAGTATTAGGGCTTCTAAGTGAAACAAGTTAGTAAATTTGATTCTCTTTCAATTTTGAACTTGTAGTGTCAACTGCTCTGGCATGAAGCACTCCACCAATTTCTGCCACCAAGGACTTGATGCATCATGTCCTGGAAACACTGCCTACTCAGTGTACTGTAAGACTTTACAGCTGTGACTCGCAAAGAAATTCCTATTTAAATCATATTGACTTTTTTCCTCTATTTTTTTTTAAACAGTTGCAATTATGGTCTATTTTATATTTGTAAGTATGAGTAAAATGATTATATTTTGTACTAGGCTATAATTTACATAATTGCATTCCTGTAAAATTTGAATTTATATTTCATTTAGCAACAGACCACAATAAAAGGCTTCTCCACTGAGAATCCAGTTTTGTGTGTCAATTTAAAGTTTAATTTTAGAGTGTTTTCTATGTCACAGTATTTTAAGGGCAGAGGAAAGCTGTCACTGTGTAAGAGACTTTTAATCAACTCTGGACTTTTGCTCAAACTTACTACCACTATTAATTGTTCCTAAAGTAATGCAAGAGGAAAAAGGATGATTAAGTGGAACTTAAACTGTGTTGCTATTAAGGATTAAACAGAAAAGCATTTTAAAGCCATACGTTGAAAGCTATCGTGTCAGAAGACATGTGTCATAATCCACAAGTTTCCAAAATATACCAGGCTGTACTCATTAGTCTTATGAAATTTAGAGGGCCTATTATTTCTGCTTCTTACATTGACATTTATATGCAAATAAAAATCCTGACTACAAGTCACACTTGAAATTGCATTTGTTATGCAGTTGCTCACCTGAACGATTTTAAAACCTGCCTTTTTAATCTATCATTTTAACATTATAGCCTTAAGTTACTGTCAGGAAGGAAACAAAATGCAGAGATGCTATAATATTTTTGCAGTCTATTGAGAGCACTGATACACAAAATCAGATACTTCAGACTCCCTTCAGAGCTGGAGGGTTACAAAACAGAATGTGATGCTTGAGAGTGAAAACTGCCATATAGCAGACTGCCACAAGGGCTACATTAAACACAGTGCACAGACTACCTCAAGCCAAACAACCTCACCACAGCATTTTGGAAATTAAAAAAAAACTTCTGGATGCACTGTATCATTTTTCCTATCAGATATGCACAAACTTAGGAACAGTTTTACATGGATTTTCTAACCTCTCCTGGGACTTTCATGATTGAAGAGAATGCCATTCACAGCAAAGAGATTGTAGGCTTCTCTGAAGTTCACCACAATCCAATAGGCATACAGTTTTGCTGCACCTACAAAAATAATTGAAGATGTTACACATAATTGTTCCACTTGTGCACCGCTCAGACACATACACACATCTCTCTTGCATGCAGGGTGATGGCCACATTTCAACAATTCAATTAGAATTCAGTTAATTCCCTAGATGTGTCACATTTCATAAGGAAAAAATATCCAGGCCAATAAACAGCAGCTGAACGAGAAAATACTCCTTTTTTTGCACAGCCCCAGGATCGACCAGGAAGGGTTAGGGCACTCTCTCACTTGTTTTCTTACACACACTCAAGCATAGCAATTTTTCTTTTACAATACAATTAACGCAGCCAGAGCGTGTGAAATATGCCACTGTGGTGACCTCTGCTAATAAAAAAAATGACTTTAGAGGAATAAAAGCAAAAATCTGCTGCCTTAACACTCAAATTGATTTGAAACTTTATCACCAAAGTCTTCCATGCACATTGCTTTAAATATGTGTTTCAAATTTAATGCGAGGTCATGAAGGAAGAAACGAACTCTTGGGAGTTTTTCATTTGGGCAACAAAAAGTATGAAACCTTATCACTTCAGTGCTATCCTACAATTCTTAGTGAAGGAAGAGCCAACCTTCCCCCTCCTCTCTAAAAGAGCTCTCTAATTCTGATCTGAATGAACACAGTCTTGAGAAGTGAGATGGTAATTTCCAACCCCCGGGCAATGGCAGCAAATACTTTTAATATAGTAATTCATAAAGGTATGCCTCTCAACATGTCTAGTCACTTTTGCTCTATCGTCATTCTAATCTCACACCCAAATGACTTCAGCCCTGAGACATGAGAAGAAAGAACAGGCATACAGACACTACTGACACACACGCATCAGCAAGCCTTACCATAAGGCGATCTTGGGTAAAAAGGGGTGGTCTCCTTCTGCGGGATTTCTTGCACTTTTCCAAAAAGTTCACTGGTGGAGGCTTGGTAGAATTTCACAGAATTGATAAGGCCACAGGTCTTAATAGCATCTAGGAGCCGTAAAGTGCCAACTCCATCAACATCAGCAGTATACTCTGCTAGGTCAAAAGAAATCTTGGGAGAGAAGGAAATAAAAAAAAATACCAGTTTTACTAAGAGAATCAGAACATGCCGCAATCACGCACGTTTAACCAAGCAAAGTAATACACCACTTGTCACAAATCATCTAGACACTTCTGTACAGAGTTGATGCTCAGTTTACAAAAGTACTCTCAAAGGATTTCTAAGAATAAACAAGAAGTTCCACAAATAGCAGAATCAAAAGACTGGTGTTCCCTGATCTCTCTCTCTGGATTACTTTCCCATGTGAAGTAAGGGGTAGGCCTACCCTATAGTGGGAGCATTATCAGGCGCTCTCTCATCTCCACAGCTGCCAATTTTCACAATATTCACTTGGGCTTAGTATCTTTGACACACTCAAGTTAGTTAAAAATGGCCTAAATATAGTTAAAAAGTTATGTAAGATAACATGACACAAGCATAAACATTTATTTTAGACATAAGCAACATTAAACAACATTCAAGGTTTTGCAATTTAAACACACTCTAAACTGAAGATTGGAAATATCTGTTCTCAAATGACATTCCCAGCCTCACCTGGCTAAGGAATATCAAGTGTGACTTTTGCACAGAGGCCAGGTGGATGATGAAGTGGGAGAGCAAAAGGTAGAGGTATCCAAATGAAGCTGGCTTCTCCTCTAGCTGACATATCCTTCAAAATTTGGTAATAGGTTTGTGGGCACAGCTCTCCTTTCTCTTCCTGCCTCAGTAGTTCTGCTACTTTCATGATGACCTTGATTGCAGCATAGGCCACAAGGCAGTACTTTCATTCACATCATCTCTCCAGCCTAGCATTTTGCATCTACACACTGTTTTCTTTTTTTTTTTAAACAAGCAAAGAAACAAATCACAGCAAACTGAAACATTCCCTATTTATACTGCCAACCTCAAAATAAAAAAAAAAAAATCAAAGGGAATGGACCATTAGAGTGATCTCCACCATCGCTACGAGCAGAGGAAAAATTACTCTAAGTGCTCCTATTGCTGATGACTGCCTTTCAGGAATAAGATCTACAGCAATAGCAATGTTACAGCCTCTTTATATGACCCTGTCCAGAGGTTAGCAAGACACTACCGAAAACACACAGTAACAAAACTGTTGTCACTTTTTTAGCATTCTGTGGCAGGTTAGTTATGAATGGAGCAGAAGGTAAACGACCCTCACTGATGAGCTGAGCTAGCCCAGAGAAAGCGATGGGAAACAACACTTGCCAGGCATGTTTTCAGTCTCTCTGCAGATTCAGATAGACAGCCAACTATTCACTTCTGTTAAGCTGCTTCCTCTGTTCTGTAATTATTAGACGTTTTGGGCTTATGAAACAGAGCAGATGAAATCAAAATAGATTAATTTTTTAATATGCGTTACAGCTATTTTAATACAAGTATGAAATAACGTAAATTGTGTTGGCGCACTCCAAAATAAAGAGGCTCTCATGTAGTTTTGACCTGAAACAGCTAATGGTACAAATTATAAGAAATTTAACCTTTCTTTAAAACAAAACAAAATAGAAAAAAAAACAAGAAACCCAGTTCTTTACATGTTAGCCTGGTTTAGCCCAGCTGAAACTGTGCATTGATCGACTTAGAAGTGCTGAGCTTCTCATTTTTTATTTTTTAAATTCATTTGCTCCAAAGATAACAGACACTTAAAGCCTCTCAGCTTCACTGTCAAAGTAACTCTCGAGAATACACCTTAATGAATAGATAATATTGTCAATAATCATAGAATCATAGAATCCTTAGATTTGGTGATGACCTCTGAAGGCCACCTAGTCCAACTCCCCTGCAATGAACAGGGACACAACAGCCTGATCAGGATGCCCAGGGCCTTACCTAGCCTCGCCTTGAAAATGCTCTAATGAGCATAAGTTATCATATTCACCACATGGCTAGCAACTTCATGTATTCTCAGTGGCTTTTCGTCGCTCTTAAAAGAAAAGGCAAAACACTAATTTTGGCAGAATCAAGAATTCAACCATATAAACATATTCTTCCTAACAAATAACCTGATGAAACAGCCCTCTAAAATGCAAACTTTGCTTACCTATTCCACCGACATGAGTAAATGGTGCATGTCAGGTGGTCTTAAATGAGAAACCCCAGGCTATAAGACCTCTTCACTAAAGTGAACAAAGAGCCTGCAGTAGCACTAGCAGGGGCTGCTCTTGCTGGCTGCTCGGAGACCAGTTTCACAAGACATGCCTTTCCCTATTGCCTGAAGAATGACCTCAATGTTCACCTAGAAAAATCACTCCCTCGGGTGTGAGGTAATTCTGTCTCCACGTTGGCCTGGTCTGAGTGTTCTCCAACAGAAACCGACAGCTCTGTGTGGGTTTGGTGTTTTTGTAATGTCGACTATTGTTCACCAGGGACGGGACTCAGACCACTAAACTCACTTCGTTTTGGAGCGCAGGTTGGACTAAAATGGCATTCGAGAAAATGAAAAATGGTTTTACTCACTAAAAACTCCAACTCCAAAAACACAGGGCTGTTAAAGACATTTTGAGCAGTGTCACTTCACACTAGAATTGGATTCTAATTCAACATTAAGACCGTAAAAAAGTTTTATAAAACTAGTTATAAATGAAGCAGGACAGAGTAAGAAAAGTGCTAAGCTATCCATTACCACATTTTTTCTTCTTCTGAACATATTACTTTCTGCAAGACCCGTAGGAATACTGAAGTTAAAGAAAATAATAATAATGAAGGGATCTCATTAAGAGGGACATGCAAAAGAGATGTGGCTTTGCTTGTACAACATACAAAAGGTCAGGGCTAGTGAAACAGAAACCAACTACAGCATCAGATTCTATAAACACTACTCAGAAATAATCTTCACTTGTGCACTTAGCTTGGTGGGATTACCTGAGAGAGTACAAACTTCATGGTGGTTTCTAAGGGCAGGTGCATAAAGGTTACAATCAGTCCATGGTTTCTGAAAAGTTAAATACTTCCCCAGTGGAAAAAATAGTGTAATTCTAACAGATTAGAATTTTCATACAATTTAATTTCTGACAGCTATCTTAAGAGTCTGAATTAGGAAGCTGATCTCCCTGTACACCACTAAAGACAATAGAAAGATGGAGAAGAAGGTTTAAGGAGATACTCTTCATTATGCTTTGGAAAAATTATATATATGTTAGTTTTTAACTTAATTAAGTGAGATGCTCCATCCTAGCCTCAAAAACCTCAAACAGCTTCTGCCACCTGCATAGAGGAAGCAGTGTAACCAGTAACTTCTCTGAAGGCAACAGCAGTTGTTGTTGTAATGACTGGAGTAGCAAAAAGAAATGTCTTTGCCTGGATGAAACTTAAAAACTGAAAGTTTTCCCATCAAAGAGTCTGGAAGGCATAAATCCAATACTCCTTTGTCTTCTTTGGACAGACTTTGTGTCAAAGGAAAAGCAACATACCAAGAAAACTGAATTGTCTACTTGGAAGGTTTGAGTGAACTTGCAACTCCCTTCTCAGTGCTTTTGGAACTGTCATAGCCAACCTCTGGATACGCTGTGAACCTATACACTGAAGACATGTCTCCTTATTCCATTCAATAAACAGTGATAGTATTATCATTAAAAGAGGACAGAACAAAATGGAGATACTAATATTCTTGGTTGAAAGTAGTTCAGTTCCAAGTTTTCAGGCTCTGAATACCTCACAGCATTGGCTCAAAGAATATTAAAAAGGAATCAGGACTTTTATATGCTGTCTTCAGCTCGTCTGAATTTCACTGCTGGACTAATCTCTAATTGTGGAACAATTCAAATACATTCTTAAGCAAGCACAAGTTCCCACAGCAAGGCTTACTCATAGGATAATAAAATTTTCTTGAGAAAAGCATAGAGCCATTAGTTACAGCATTCCTGGAAACACAGGACACAATATGAATACACTTAATACTATACTGTGTCTCTTCAATAACACAGCTCCAAGAATGACAGTGAGTTTTGTGAATCAGTCCCTATATTTTGAATTCAAACTCTTTTTTTTCCCACTTCTTTCTTCATAATTGTCAGATTCAATCACTACATGAGATCCAAATTTAATAAAGCTATGTTTTAAATATGATGTTTCCCAACTGATCATTCAAAACCAAGCTTAGCAAGGTCTTTAACAAGATTTAAAAGCTTACTGAAAACTATCTAAATGAAAACATATGGGACTTGCCCTCCCCAAGAACACATTCCTACCACGTCTATGAGTACTATATACAAGCTGCAGATTTAATAACACTTGCTTCTGAGCAGTGCATCTTCAACAGTGATACTCTGAAAATAAATAGGAATTTGTTTTGTCACTTCGAACAATCCAAAGGATGGACTGTAATCATACCACTCATCAGCCTTCTACCAAAAAAAGGTATGAACTAGCAGAACATGCTCTACTCCTCTAAGAGATATAAATAACAATTTGAAATTTCATCTCCTTCTTACAGTATCCTCAGTTTAAGGGTATGGAATTAGCTGGCTTGCATTATAAAAGGAAAGCTTATGTGAAGTCCCAGAAGGAAACAGCATAATAGAAGTGTAAATTATGTATTATTCCTTCACTGTAAAAGCAAAGATGATTAACGTAAGTATAACATTAGATTAAGCATCTTTGTTCTCTTGAAAAACCTTTAAGTAGTTTTCTTTAGATTTATCAGAGCAGAAGACGTGTCAGGTCTCTTTAAGCACTGCCAAAGATTTACACCTGAGAAACAAATTACAGAGAAGAAAAATTGCTCAGAAATGTTTCAAGCCTCACAAGTTTTGCAGCAGTTACTTTTTTGTATTTTTACAAATCAATTCTATTTGCTTTGAATATTCAGTGTGCCTTCCACTGCCAATAAAAACCAGTGGGATCACTTATATCATCTCAATAAACAAACTGCTCAACCCCTAGGAACAGGCATTTAAAGCATAACATTCCAACTGCTAAATCTAATGCGGAGTATGGGCCAAGCATTCCTGCAAAGTCCTAACACCACAAAAAAAAGTCCTAGGGATTTTAGG